TGCACACACATGTCTCAGCTGTAACATCATCTGCTTGACTGATAAACATTTTTGTTTACTAGGCAGCTCTGCTCTACAGTATTTTCGATGATACCGTTGCACGTTGCTCGGAAATTCGAACGGAACGCGGCCGCTTCGACTTGTCGAATCGATCGATTGGGTGCTTATCAATTTCGAAAATAGCTCGCATCTCGCTTATCTCCCGCGCACGCTCTCAACGATAGATGCCGCCTCTTAATTCAGGCATTCGCCGGCCACCGAACACATGAGCATTATCAACAACAAAAAGAACAACAACAACAACAAGGAGAACAGTTGTGTTTGTCACATGCCCCCGTCTCGCAGTGCTCGAATTCGAATTGGGATTTTAGTTTGTCAGAGTCTGTTGTCTTGATAACGTTAACGTTTCCCACTTGCATATTTCTATCTCGTATTATCTGTGTGTGTCTGCGTTTCGTTTTGTGCGTCTCTGAATTTGGCTAAATACGTTTGAAAATTAAATAAAACAACAAAAAAATAATTAAATTAATATTCACATATATTACAAGTGCCGTTGTGTAATTGTCGTCGTTGCAAAAATAAGAAAATTACCAGAAAAAAAAAACTACGTAAAACTTTACGCTTATGTCATTACGTCTCTCGTAACGTGTTAAACGTCAACGTCTCAGCGTAGTCTTTGAAAAAAAAGTGCTTGTTTCGCTTTCTTTGTGGGTGTCTACTATTACAACTTATCTGGTCTAGTCAAGATATATTTCAAATATATCTATATAATATTAATTATTTTCATATTTGTTTGTGTCTCTAGCAATTTATGTGAGTACTTGAGCTAAGGTGATTAGTTTATAAGTCTGTGTGCTTAGGCGTATTTCAATGTTTTTCTGTTTCTTTTTCCCCCCCTTTACTATTTCCACCTTTCTTTCTAACGTTTTACTCTTATACCCTTTATTAACCTCATTTCATGCCGTTTCAAATGTTTTTCACAAAAACTATTGCGAATAATTAAATTATAACCATCTGCTCGTTTTTGCTATATAAATCAACCTTGATACCTTTTATATATATGTGTCTTTATGTACGTGTGTGTGCATATGTGTATATATATATATGTGTGTTTACGTGTGTGTTTTTGTGCTATCTGTAGGCCGTTGTTGCTGTCCGTCTATATGTCAATAAAACTGTCCACCTATTTGCCCTCACAATGTATTCCCAGTGCAATATATACACATAGTTTTGCATATTATTGAAATGCAATAAATAGCAAAATGTTGACTAGACTGCACATTTTTAATTAAAAAAGTGGCCACAATTTCATTTAAATATATTTGAGAAACTTTATAAATTGCGTACTGTTGGGGTGTAGAACGAGGACTGTGAAGCCGAGTATATGTAGAGAGGAAATTTCAGGCTCAACAAGCATATAGTCTTTTGTTCATTTTTAGTTATTAAATTAACTTTTGCAAAATATTACCATGTAAATGTTCTCATTCAACTTCCAAACTGTCATCCACTTCATAAGCATATTAGGTACAAATCCGATTTTATAGTCCCAAGCAACCCTTTAAGTTTCCATAATACCGCACATATTGATCAATGACAATATACCCAAATGGATTTAATTAGCCATAATTAGAGAAGTCTCTGGCTAACTTGTTGCATGAATAATGGCGCTAATAACAGCGACATTGGGGATGTTAAACAGCGCCAGCAACAAGGATACACAGATAAATACAAACACAATGGAGGCAGGACACGAGTTTTGTTTGCCTTGACAAACACAAGTTCCTAATGCCAATAACTGAACCCATAATAATATTATTTATGACCTCGAGCTGCTGCTGCCGCTGCTCTTCCTAGCTATCAACTTATATAAATTTATACATATATTTCATTATGGGCCACAGAACCGGACGGTGTTATACGGCTTCTTGTTGTGCCCGAGGCGACTCTTCAGTCGCATATAAATTGCATTGATATGGTGGGGAGCTCCTAAAGCAGCATTCCGGTTTCAAGCATTGCTTTTTATACCCTGTTAACATACAAAATGATTAATAATCGTGTATAATAAAGATGGGAGTCAGTTACGATACAAGAGAGGGTATAGGTTTGTGATCAAAATTTTGTCTATATTCATTTATGTCTTTATTCACGTCCAAAATCATTCAAATTAGTATAAAATTTTTTGTCAGACCACGCAATACTATTAAAATGGAAAGAAAGATATATCCTAGACACTTTTCATAGGGTGCTTTCATCTTGAGATTTCAAAAAACACAGATAGGGATTATTGTTGATTTACAATTTTACCCAGAAAAAATCGATAAATATCGATTTCAGACTAGATTTCAGTGCTTCTTCGAGAAGCAAAGCTTCTAGGCCACTTTACACTCTGTTACAGGGTAGTCCGTAGTCAGACAGTCTTAACTTCAGCACTCTAACTTACTTTTTTATGCTTGTTAGCAATGGGAAGTGTTCCCATGTCCTCTATTTGTTATCCGCTTTGCAGTTTGTTTGTTTGCTTGTTGTCTATTGTGATTTTTATTGTTTATATTTCATATTTATATATATATTTTATGTCTTGTTTGGTTGTCTTATTCATGTTTTTCATGTTGACTCCAATAATATGTGCATTAAGTGCGTTGCTGCTACTCTTCATTTTCTTTTTTTTTTTCCCCATTCTTTTTTTGTTTGTTTATTTTAGTTGAGTTTTTCTTGGGTTTTTTCTTTGTGCTGTGCTCATTTTCATGTTTTTTCCCACCCAGCTTTTTATCCTTTTTGATATAACATATGTTCATTTGTGTGTTTCTATGCTTGTTTACAATACGACGACTCCTCTGACAGCGTCAACCAGGCAACAGTCAAGTGAAATTGATGATGTTGCGTATACGACATGTATGGCAATTATGTTTTACTTGCACTCAGTTTTTTACCCCCTCACCCCGATTTGACCCGAAACTCTTTAGGCTTTTGCTCTCTTTGAAATTTGTAATGAAATTATAAATTATAAGCTCACAAAAGCGCTTAAAACAAGTTTGCCTCAAAAAGGCAAAAAAAAAAAAAAAAAAGTTGAGCTACAGCAGGTGAGTAAACTTAGCTCTCAACTTTTGGCTATCCAGCGCACCCGCTCTCCGCCCCCTCAACTCGTCTGGCGGCATATAAACAATGAGAACAGTCTGAAATATTGTTGCAAAAGTTGCATAATTGGTTTGGAGCTTTGCTTGGCAACTTTTGATATGCCTTAATTAAGTTTGGCCGCATTCAAATATTTATAGGCTGCAAATAGCCATTGGGTTGAACTCTTGGGGCACTCCTCAAAATGTTAATGGGTTAGGGCTAGAAATAGTTGGTTTATAATTAGAAAGACAAGCGCATTGGCAGGTGAGCTACTATTAAGCATTGATATTTAAACGCACATCTGTGAATCTCTGTGGAGTCCACTTTATTTGGTTGGTAAATATTGCTTTGGTAGCCGTTAGCTTGAAAACTAGGTTCAATTTGCTTAAATATATATATAATTTTATTGATTTTTGTTAATTAGGATTTTAATAAGCTTTTCCCTAGTGTGAAAATGTGATCTATTACTTTTGAATACTTCTCCCAGCACTAAACTTGGGCGTAGTATCTTATTGGAATTCATGAAAGCATTTTAAATATATTCACAAGAAACCAGTCTAGAAAATAGCATATCAGATATCTTATATATCCCATTTACGTGTACAATTTCAACAACAATAGCAATCAATTTCAAAGTCAATTACTTCTATTTGAGGAGTTGCTACCTGGAAACTTTGTTAGCGAAATGCCAATTGAAATACAATTTGAGACGCACGTGAGCGCCGAGAAATGAGCCTGCAAAATCAGGGGAATTGAATTAGTATGCGTGTGTATATGTGTGTGTGTCATTTAGGAACAATTTCATTAAAATTTAAATAGCCAAAACAAATTGAAAAGTTGTGCCAAGAAAATCATTTGCTAAAATTGGCAGGGAGCGAGTAAATGCAGTGCAGAGAAAAATAAAAGAAAATAAAATAAAAAAAAAAATCGAGCAACACGCCAGCCAAATCAGGGAAAAAGTCTTTCAATCAGGCTGCAAATTCGTTGGGCAAATGCCAAACGAGAGAGCGACAAAAAGGGAGAGAGAGAAATAAATTGGAAACGTATATCTAATCAATTAATGAAATTGCTGAAAAACTCGAGATCTTCCATAGGCCGCGGCAACATTGGCTAATAAATAAATCAGGAGCACTTTGTGTGGGCTGCCGCCAAACTGATTAGCAAGGGGGCGTGGCATGTTCCTGCTGCAACTTCAATTAAAGGCTAACTAATCCTTTAGCAGAAACTTAGACAGTTGTCTTAGCTGCAATAATAATCAACAACATCGTCAGCATCATCATCATCAGTAGCTTCATTATCGTAGTGTATGGTATTTGTCGCTGAGGCTAAAACAATAAACAAAGCAAACACAACAACTACCAACATTATCGCACATCATTATCATTGTCATTCCGAGCGCGGCACAGCTTAAAAACAAGTAAGAAAGTCAAAAGTTTTGATAGCGGTTAGACTCTAAAATACCCTGTAGAAAAATGTAAGAAAATTGTGACGATCAAAAAAGTTAGGGAGAAAAGGATTATTATTTTCTCTTGATAACAAATACAAATTGCAGTTAATAGGGCTTCATTTAGTTTATGAAGTAGCAAAATTTAAATTAAAAAAAAAATATATTTAGAAAAAAAAATAATACAAATTAATATAAAAATACTATATTTTAAAATAAAAAACAGTATATAAATCATTATTAAAAGCTAAAAAATAATTTTAAATATTACTCTGGCCAGAAATATATTGCCAAATCCGGCTATCCACATCCAAAACTTGAAATACAGAAATCAAACAAACCCAAATATAGCAGCATATATTATATATTATTATATATATAAAACTATGCCAAAATTGCAGTTATGTGCTGAATCTCTTCTTTAAAATAATGTCATTTAATAAAAGTAATTTAAGGTGAAATTTAATGTGGTTAAAGGCGTATGCCCCTCAGGAGTGACATATACAGGGTATGTACCATAACAACCAACCAACATACTAAAAAACCCAAGGTGTAATCTAATGCAGTTATAATCGCATATGCCCCTCAGAGCACAGCATCTACAGGATATATTAAAACAACCAACAGGCTTCCATCATCTACCGCTCTATACACAAAAACCCGAGCGTTTCGCTCTGAGTTCTGAGTTGCCGTCTATATAACTGTATTTCACGTTGTCGTCCTTTAATGCTGTTTGCTTTATTTTTCTGTTTAGTTAGTTTTTATGAGCGTCATTATTTTCGCTTGCCATGGCGCTAAGCATCTTAAGTGCCTCCACTTTAAGGGGCCGGCTTGGCAGACGCCTCCCATTCCAGACGTTGAAGTTTTTGGATGGCAGGCTGTGTGTTTGCATAGGCGACAGACATCATTTGGCGGCTTATAATTTAACTTTTGCTGCTAGTTTTGAAAACAACTTAATAAGAAAGATGCTGGGCTGTTGTTCTGCTTAAACTGAACCTGAACCTGGTGCTCTCGGTTGGGTGGGGAACCTGTTGATGAAGTTCTTGTCGAAGAATGCGCCCAGTTGGCAGTTTTATAAGGCCCTTTGGTAATCATTATGAGAGTTCTGCTCTGTGGCATTTAAGCTGTGAAGTTTTCCAAAGTTATTTTGGATTAATTGCTTAAACTGAAAAGATAAGCGTAATAACCAGGGAATATAATTTGTATAAAATAGAATGTGTAAAATAAATTTTGACACAAAATCAAAATTAAAGGCAGATCAAAATATGTCAAATAAAATTTCAAATATTTCTAATTTAAAAAAAAATTCAATTAAAAAAAGGAAAAAATAATTTTTTCAAATGTTTATGCTCTTGTTTAAAGTTTATATTTTAAGATTTTTATTGCTTTTAGGTTAATTGCTGTACAGTTTTATTACACTTTCATCCAGAATAGAATTTATCTGTTTTACTTTTTCCCATATTTGCTATGAAATATTTTTGCAACTGGGCCAGAAACTCAGCACTCTATGCAAGATACCTCAGTTTATGTCAACTTGTTTTTACTCTTTGTATTGTTTATAAAATCAGATTGTGTAGCGTACATATATTTTATAAAAGTTAAATTTCGGCTTCTTAGTGGCAAAATTCTTAATGTGTTAACTTTTCGGCCGTACCGCGTCACGATCTAAACTTAATTTGCAAAAAAAAAAAACTGACCTATACACAATATAACAACACAGGAATTAAAAAACTAAAAATAAATTAAATTCGCAATAGACCAGATATAAAAATTTTTATCATTCGTGTTCCCTTTTCGGCCATTGCAAGCTAAAAATAAAAAAAATAGGTAAGTGTAAAAGCAACTTGGTCAAGTGACATAAAAACTGTGATGATGGTTGGGTTGGTTGTTGACGGAATTTTTAGAATAAGCTCCTGCTGCCTTCTTCCTGCATGACAGATTATCAGGCGCTGTCTCTGTGTGTGTGCTGTCTGCTGTCCAAAGCTTGTACCTTTGAGTGTTCTTAACAGTTATTGAAATTGCAGCAATTGAGTTCAGTGTGCTCGAAGCTATTTAATTGCAGCTGCAGTGCAGGACACCAAAGGAGCATAGCATAAGGGAGGTCTATCAGCGTCCGATTAGCAGATACCCTGTACACAGCCTCGAGCTGCTTTAATATACATTCGCACCTGAATATAATCGTATACACACCAACACATACACAAATATTCCTGCCCCTTCTCATGCTTTTCTCACTTCAGGGTTCTAATATGACATCTAATTGTGTGTATAGAATGTGATATATCTATCATAGGATGATACATTGCAGTTTTTAGGCGGTTTACAGAAAGTATTCACGAAGAAGTGAATTATTTTTGTCTCTAGCTCCTATATTTTTCCTAGATTTGCTGAAAACCGTGTTTTATCAATAACTGTGAATCGGGAGTGTTTATCGGTAATCTGAATGAACTTTGATCTGCGTGTGTTATACAAGAACTTAACGTGCACATATCGGACTGACTTCAAAATCGACTTGACTGAGAATATATGTACCTTAAATCTTCTGCCGCCTGTAACATACATTTGCTCAAGTACAATATTCCCCGATTCACCAAATATCTATGGTTGCAGGGTATAAAAACAACAACTACTACAACAGCAGCAGCAGCAGGGGCAGCTAAGACTCAGCTCGACTTTTACCCGCAGGTGTTGTAATCTAGCAACGTGGCGTTGCTTCTGCCTGCCTATTGTGTGTGTGTGTGTTTGTCCTGGTGCTGCTGCTCCTGATGCTGCTGGACTTGGGCCAAATGCAGCTCGAGTGCTAACTAATTTCGTCGCTGTCGTCTTCACGTGTCAGCAACATTTCTTCAATTGGTTTCGTTTGGCTTGTCCTGTCCTATTATGTGCTCTCCTCTTCCATGCCAACCTGGCATGTCCTTTATGAGTTCGAACGTGTGTGTGTGTGTGCTTGTTTGTGCACTGCTGCAGTTGTTGACTCGTTTCGTGATACTTGGGCCAAGCCAATTCCTTTGGCCCAGTCATCCAATCCTTGGCCTGTTTCTGCTCTTTATGCACTTGGCGCCGCTCTGCTCCACTCTCCTAATGCTCATATGATCTGCTTTGGCTCCAAGCGTCGCATTTTTATGGCACTTGCTGTTTACTTTTACCGCCGTGTATGCATTTGTAGCTTCCAGTTACTTGTTATTTTCCTAGCTGTATTTTGTTTTTCTTCTTCTATTGTTTTCCTTTGTTTTTTTGTGTCTTGGCTCTCGCCTTCGATTGTGTCTCATTTGGATCGTAACATTAACGTTTATTACGTTCTTGTTTAAAATTGAGCTGTGTAATGAGGGCTCTCAGGTTAAGACTAAGCAAAAGGAAATATACAAATTATATGAAAAGCAGAGGTAACTTTTTGGTGGAAAGTGTTTGACTTGAAGGTATCCTGCTACATAAACCCTTTACGTTATCCAACAACGTAATAGTATTTAGAAGTCTTCTCCGCGATTCTCAATATCCAAGCTTACTTTATTTAAAATTTAGAATGTGCTGCATATAAATTTAACATGCACATGACTGACGTCCTTCTCGAATGCATGGCTAGATAGATGAAGAATATTAAATGGTTTTTGCCTCATTAGCGGGCATTCAAATTGTATAAAGCCTTTGAAACAGCGCATTTCCTTTGACATGCGATGCCAGCGATAGCATAAAAACTCGAACAGAAGTCAGAACCAGGGTCGTGTTGTTGTCGTGTTGTAGTTACCGAGTTTGAGGCCAGTGTAAAGCTGTCAACCGCGCCACGTAATTATTAAGTTGCAGCCAAAGCGCCCACCCACAACATTAGCAGCAAAGCCGCACTCGAACACACATGCACACACACGAATACATAGAAACGCCCGCACTCACACACACACACACACACATTTCATTTACTTTCTATAATTTCTCTAGAAATTCCGATTGCACATGTGGGACTTTATATTGGCAGCGCTGGAAACCAATTAAAATGCTGCACTGCTCCTGATTATGCCAACAACGCTGTGTGTGTTGAGTGTGTGTCTAAGTATGTGTGTGCGTGTGTGTGAATAGATTGGTATGTGTCAACTAAGTGCAGTTAATTAGTGCGAAAATCACTTCAGTTGGCTGGGGATTTTTCGCCCAGATTTCTTTAGCTGTTTGTGTTTTTCCGCTGAAGCAGCTATTTTTTTATATTTGGTTTTTCTTTTGAAATTTTCACATTAATTGCTCTGCGCTGCCTTTGGCTCTCCGAGTCCAACTCTGACACTGCTGCAATCAGCCGGACGAGCAGCCAAGCAACCAGGAGCTAAGCTACTTGGGGATTTGCTCGATTTGTTGTCGCTTCGCAGTTTTTTTTATCTTTTTATGGTTTATTTTATTTTAGCCAAATAATCACACAGCTTGTAACATATTTCTAAGCAATTTGCAGCAACTGGGCTAAGCTCAACCATTTGTCCAGCACGTAAATTAAATGCCTTATTTATTTAGATAAATATTTAATTAAAATTGCCATAGTTTGTCATAAGTTCTGATTTGACATGTTTAGAGATTGAATATGTATGCAAATTGATTTTACACTCTGCAGATTTTTATTAAATGATAGGAAAAATAGATTGAAAAAGCTTAGAGCTGCTTACAGCTAAGAAAGACAACACTATTTTCTTGAGTTTTATAATATAGGAAAGTGTAATTTATGTATGAAAGGAAGAAAAACATGTTTTCATTCCATTGTCTTATCCCCCGAGCTCTCAATTGTTTTATTGTTTTTAAAGATTCGGCATTCGCACCAAAGCTTTAAGAAAATTTTTTCTTTTATATTTTACTTATTCTTGTCACTAAATGGCTTTTTAAAAATTTAAAATAAAGGGATTTTTTGTTGCATTCATATTTTCATTAATGTCTTAAAACCTTTTTGTAGATTTTATTATATTATTATTTATTATACTAAATTGGTATTAAAATATTTGGTACAAGGCCCAATGTTTAATAAAAAGCATTCGACAAATGTTCCATTATTAATAATAAAAAAAAAAAAAATTAAATAAAAAATATAATAAGAAAAATAATATGAAAAAAATAAATAAATAAAAATAATAAAAAAGTAACTAACTTATTTAAAAGAAAATGTAAAAAATAAGACCATAACACAAGCATGTTTATCAACTCATGTGATCAATCAAATATAATACAATAGTAATATAAAGGCAGCAATAATATAAAGGCATCTTCTCAAAAAAAGTGGCTCAGATTTATATTAATTTAATGTCATTAATAATAACTCTCGTACGTCCGACAACTTCATAAATTTCAAAAACGCTAAATAAACCCTCGCCAAAAAAAAACATGACAAGTAGCGCAGTGGCAGCGGACGTGTTATTTACTCTGTTGATTAAGTTAAAATACCGCGCAGAGATCAGCCAGGCAGTGCAGCCAGTAAGTCGAGGACTTGCCTTGGCTCAAGGACAAAGCACAGCAAGTGGTGACCCCGCAGCCGAAAAAATAACAGCAGCCACGGCGCCAGCCAAGCGACAATATCCAAGCAAACCTAAAAAACAAAACAAAAATAACAAAAAAATTTACTAAACTGTGAACAGGGGGTAAAAAAAAAAAAAAAGAAAGCGGGAGCATACGCCATGCGGGGATTACATTAACGCAATTTCTGTGAGCCAAGGGCGGCGACCCCAGCGAGAGTTGGCAAATTAAACGCCCACTTAATCTCAGTTGGGTCAACTTGTGACACGAAACTCATTTGTGCCGCTGGCCACACACAGACAGACACACACACACATACATACGCACGCTGTAAGGGAATGGGCGACCGAGCAGGGACCAAGTTCAGGGACAAGCGACAGCGTCAAGATCAAGGCACACATACTGCTCGAAATTATCTGGCAAGGGCTCTGGCTCGCTCTCCCCCTCACTCACGCACACACACATATATATATATACACTCTCCCTCAGGTCTAGTCATTTTCAATTAATTTGGCAACGTGGGCAAAACTGTAGACCAACGCCAGGAAACTGGCAAAAGAAAAACAGTTTTCAGCACTTTTGTGTCAAAAGTTGTTTGTCGACGTTGTCGCGACATTTGCACTGAAGAGTAGTCTCTGCATTTCAGAGAGTTGAGTTCTCTTCCTCTCACTGTGCCTGTTTTCGAGTGCAGGAAATGCGTACTTCCTGTTTGTCGTCGCAATGTGTGTGCGTGTGTGTGTGCCACTCAGGGGGCGGCAGCATCAGTCAGCTTGCAGCATATTTGCGTGCTCGACTGCTTCGCCCAAAGACAATAAATGCACTTGCCTTTGCCGGCTCTCACCTCCCCCTCTCTATCTCTTACAGCCTTCCCTTCTCTCTCTCATTCTCTTGCCCTCTGCGCTTGGGTCAACCATAAACTTTGGCTTGCAACTGCCGCATAATTTTACATTTTGTCTCGTCTCAATGCTGCTGCTTACGGGCAAAAGAGAAAAAAAATTCAAATTTTATCTGGAGTAGGGGGGGGGGGGGTGGCAATTGCCGGCGGGGTTGGGGCATTGTCGTCTACTCAATGCACTGGGCCCCGTCCGTTGGATTTGTTAAAAAGTTGCTACCATTTATCTGTTTTGTATGTGCACTGCACTTCACATTCTTCCCGCTCATCCTTCTCCAACTCGTATATATATTTTTTTTATAAGGCCTTCGGTATGGGCCCGTCTTCTGCAGCTGTCTCGGGCCCTCTTTGATGGCATACCAAATAATGGCTTGGGCGTGGGGCAGCTGCCTCTTCGCTGTCTTCAGTTGCAGGACAGGGCAGCGACACACAAAGCTGCATGAACTTCCTTTTGTCGCATTGTCGT